TCATGTATGTACATGTACATGTATATGCATACTATAAGAAAACTAATCAATGTTACACAGTAGGCCATGGACTATAGTAGAGGGTATTTCATCAAAAATGACTCAGAGAGATTTCTCCATTTTTATATTTTTTCCTGATACATATACATGTTCTTATGTTGTGTAGCAAGTTTGAGCTGATTCCAATCAAAATTAGATTTTTTACGAATTTTAAAAGTTACTCAAAAATTAGGCCAAAGTCCCTGTACTATTAGTAACGCGGTAGCGTTACTAAGTAGGATTCACCCCCAAACAAAATGGCTGCCACGACTTTTGCAGCCTTGCTATACCGGGAAAACGAGCTCCTATGCTTACCAGACTTCTTAGAGGACCTTATCTTGACCAGAGGACTCCAATGGTACCACTAGCGTGGCTCTAGACCTTTTCTGGGAGGAAAATAAAAAATCTGCAAACCGGCCGTTTTGTTCAGCCACCTTTTTTCATCTTCATCATCAAGTTAGTCCTGTCAATCCAGTTGTCGGTCGATATCTCAATCTTGCCTGGTGATAGAAAGCTAATTCTTACACCATTCTACTCCAACAGGGTATGCGCAGGTCCTTGTCCCCTAGAATCATTCTCCAAGGAAAGGAAAAAGTGACACTGTGACTGTTGGATCGCACCAGCTTACCTCATGCCGCCATTTTGTTAATTAAAGAAGCATGTGCTCCAAAATTTGGGCGTGGTCGCGCATGCTCAGATCTCAGAACTGGGAACAGCAAGTACTTTTTTACCTAGCTATAGGCTAGCTATGCTTGGAATCAAATTGCAATACTTAGTGGAGGTTTTCAGCTAAGAGAAGGTATTAATCTTGCATATATCAAGTGTGTAATGAATTATTTTATTTCAAAAACATAAAACAATTAATTAATATTATAATACTAATGATAATATGAACTTGACAACAGGAAAAACCTGCAGGAATAGCTACAGGATTGCTGGGAAGATAGAGCTTCTTGAACAAGGATTTCCGTCAAGACTATAGTATTCATTTCACTTGTCATCGGTATAGTAGATATTCCTTCACCATGTCTATTCAATTCAATCAGTGCTGTCCCTCATAAATGCTGTAAAATCATAACAATGACAACAATAATAAAGAAACTTATTGTTTGTGTAAATCAAAAAGTATCACAATTGTAACTGAAGAAATATTATAAATATTATAAAAAAATCAACACAAACAAGAACATAAAAATTTTAAAAAACAAGATTGAGTAGGATTCCAAACGACCAACGAAACTACAAAATGAAAATCCTACTCTCGTGACGCAAATTCTACTTTACATTGCAAGGTGATTCATAACTTTTAAATAATAACATTAAAAGTACAATGTAGAGTACAATTTGCATCACGAGAGTAGGATTTTCATTTTGTAGTTTCGTTGGTCGTTCGGAATCCTACTCAATCTTGTTTTTTAAAATTTTTTATGTTTAGTACAGGGTCATTGGCCAAATTTTGCTAAAAATGACTAGGAGAGAATTCTTTTTTTAATAATTTTTCCTAAAACATATACATGTTCTTATGTTGTCTACCAAGTTTGAGCTAATTCCGATCAAAATTAGATTTTTTTACCAATTTTAAAGTTACTCAAAAATTAGGCCAAAGCCCCTGTACAGGATCATTGGCCAAATTTTGCTAAAAATGACTAGGAGAGAATTCTTCATTTTTATAATTTTTCCTGATGCATATACACATTCTTATGTTGTGTAGCAAGTTTGAGCTAATTCAGATCAAAATTAGATTTTTTACAAATTTTTGAAGTTACTCAAAAATCAGGCCAAAGTCCCTGTACTATAGTACAGGATCATTGGCGAAATTTTGCCAAAAATGACCAAGAGTGAATTCTTCATTTTTATAATTTCATTTGATACATATGCATGTTTTTATGTTGTGTAGCAAGTTTGAGCTCTTTCCAATCAAAATTAGATTTTTTACGAATTTTAAAAGTCACTCCAAAAGCCATGTACATGTACATCTTCTGTATTGTAGTGCTTGTCAGCTCATGAAGCATGCTTTGTGGGAAACTCTGGTTTTACTGCATACTAATATTATGTGTATGTACTACGTATACTAGTACATTTGTATATGTCAATAATGTGCATGTGTGATACAATTTTTACACTTCTTCCAGTGTAGTACAGTATTATGTTATTTTAATAAATTATTAGATTATCGTTGGGCCCTTACTGGTACTCCCATACAGAACAAGCTTAAAGACTTCTACAGCTTAATAAAGTAAGGAAGGTCTAATTAGTAATTAATACATCGCTGTTTCTTTTTCCCTCTCTCTCCCTTGCATGTACATGTACACACTTATATCACTGGTACATGTATATCCAGTAACACCAAACAGCTGTAATTTATCTACTTATCCTATAGTGTGTGGGTGTATGAAAGGCAAGTATGAAAGTGTTTTTGCAGACTATAGTCTACTCCAGTATTGGCAGTTAGATCCTGCTGCTAACTATGTCTACTCTCCACCTTATGAACTTGTGGTGGTGCCTTTAATACACCCACAGGCTGTATTACAAATCTACTCACTGTATATTTCTTAATTGTCCTCATTACTGCTGGTCTTTTCATTAATACCAGGTTCCTTCATGTTGCTCCCTTTGATGATCTTAGAGTTTGGAAGGACACTATTGAGGGTAGAAGCTTAGGTAAGTCTTAACGATATTAACTTACATGTACATGTACAAAAACATGATGTACATGTACAAAAACATGATGTACATGTACATGTAGTAGCTGATACAACTAGTCTACTATCAAAACTACCCCATTTATTTTTCTAATTGTTATTTTCATTATTATTATTATTATTATTATTATTATTATTATTATTATTATTATTATCATTATTAGGAATGAAGAGGTTACAGGCGATGGTCTCATGCTTAGTTTTGAGAAGACTAAAAGAAGAGTTTGAATCAGTAAGAATATAACACTATAATTCTATCTTTTATAATTGCATATATAATGTGTATGTACATGTACATGTAATCAGAATCATTATTTTTTGTACTTTAGACTAAGCTACCAGCGAAAAACGTGGTATGTCACAAGCTTGCACTCAATCCGGAGGAGAGGAGTATCTATAATGTGCTCTTTCATTTCAGCAGGTAAGCATAATAATTACTTTTTCTTCAAACACAAAGTTTCGCTCAATAAATATTAATAAGCACCCACCTCATATAAAGTGTGGAATTTTATAAATACATGTACATGTACACTGTACCTTACTACATATACATGTATGTACATGTAATGTGTACATGTAGGAGCATGTACTGAATATGCAATTAATACCGTATAGCAGGAAAATTTTGTGAATTTGGCGTTTTGATAATTATTGCCAAAATAAAAATCCGCCATTTTGAGCCGTTATATACATTCAATGGCACATGGCCACAAATTTGCCAATCACAAAAATTTAGCAATTCAATAAATTTTTGTCCCTTAAGAATTTCCCGCTATACGTTATTTAATGCATAATTACATGTAAAGTAGCTATACACCTACATGTACTTACATGTACATACACCTCATGTACATGTATATAGTAGTAATTGTTGTCTTATTTCTTTCCACACTCTTTTATAACTCCTCATACTCTTTTAGAGACTTCTTTATGAGCCATTTTGAGCCATTGCATACATTCAGTGGCACGTGCAATCACAAAAATTTAGCAATTCAATAAATTTTAGTCCCTCCAGAATTTCCCACTATACGCATAATTACATGTAGAGTAGCTATACTATACACCTACATGTACTTACATGTACATTATATACATGTACATGTATATAATAGTGACTATTGTCTTATTTCTTTCCACACTCTCTTATTACTCCTTACACTCTGTCAGGGACTTCTTTATGAAGTATTTAACTGAGATGGGTGAATTTGATATGCTTTCTGATTCAGCTCCATCCCTCAGTAGTCTACTGCACAAAGTCCCGTCTCATTTAAGATCCTCTGTTGAAACTTTAATGAAATCAATGATACCTAACATTGAAGAAATGGAAGGACAACGTCGCTCGGGGTCCATGATATTATTACTGTTATTAAGGTAATTAGAATGAGAGAATTAGTAATGGTAGAAATTATAGAAAGCATTTTTAATTTTATGTACATGTACATAATTTTTTTATTGGCTTGAGAGTTATGTTTAAAAATATTAAAGTTGCTTCATAATTTTGCTAAAGTCCATAGGCTATTTTATAGAGATTTTTTTATAAAAAATTGCTTGGAAAGAATTGTCCATTTTTATTGCATTTTTATGTACATGTTCTTATGTTTTGTAGAAGTTTGTAATTTTCTATTGTTAAACTAGAGTTTAGTAGAATTTTAAAAGGCAGCTCCAAAGAGTCGTTAATGTCTTAGAACAATTGACAATTGACACATGTACAAATGTACATGTACATTGCACATTTGTAACTGTACAGATAAATTTGAACTTTTAGAAATTTATCAATGATATACTATTTGTAGATTGAGGCAGTGTTGTAATCATCCTAATCTCTTGTCTACTGCTCTAACCTCTGAAGTGTTGGCTGAGGATGATCTAGCACTAGCTATGGGAGCTCTCTCTATTGGGGCCACCTCTGAACCAAAACAAGACCTATCTGTTAGTTTTTATTGTATTGAAATTTTGTGCTGTATATACGTTTGTTTAAATTTGTACTTTTTGAGTATAATCAATGTATGTTACCATATACTGGGATATTTTTGAGTTGCTAATTTTTCATGAATATTGCCTTAAGATTTCACGAAATTAAATTTTCACGAATAGCTTGCAAACTGTGCGACGTGGCAATAAAAATGCGGTTCTGTTTTTGCAATGGGGCAAAAAGTGTGAAATTTGGGAAAATTTGGCTACTCGAAAATTTCCCAGTATATGGTATTTTCTGTCCCTGTATACACTTAGTGTAATAAGATATTGTGTCATTTCATTTTTCATGTCACATATACATACATGTACATGTTGTATTGTATAGGTTAGTTCCAAAGGATTTTTCCATAGCTCTCACATCAGTAGTAAGGTATTCATAACCCATTATTACATGCACTATTGTAATCACAATAAGAAATGAAGGAAACAGTATGGCAGCAATTTGGGTCCAACATGAGCTTTTGAACTATCAAATGAATATCCCATTTTTCACAATAATGCAAGTACTATATTTGCTCGATAAACGCCCTGCTTAAATAAATGCCCATGACAAATATTTTCTAACTATAGATACGCATATTTTACCCAGTATATGTGCCACAGGATTTAGATTGTGCCAGATAGCCTAACTGTTAGAGTACAGTTTGGAACGCTAGAAGGTTACGGGTTTGATCCACTAGAGGCTTTTTGTTTTTTTACCTGATTTTTTTTTCCTGTTAAGAAATAAACGCCCAGGCGTTTGATCGAGCAAATACGGTACATGTAGAATTTTATATACATGTAGTGCATGTGTATGCTATACATGTACATGTAGTGTGTTCTTTTTAATTTACATGTGTTATAAAAATTCTAAATTCATCTTATTTCACATACACTACATTGTATTATGCCTTCATTGCTTTTCTCTTGTTTTTCTCTCACAGGTCCAGTCTATCATTACTAAACTGGATGAAATCTTTTCTAATGAGGACCCCAATGAGCCATTACCTAATAAATGGTCAGTTTATGTGTGTCACTCATTTCACAATGAAAATTTACATGTACATGTACCCCAGGGTTTCCCACAGGATTCTAGCATAGTGCTCAATCATAAATTTGACCAAAATATCCCGTACTAATATTTTGTCAAATTTCATCAAATATGGCTACAATAAATAGCTCTTATTCAATTCTTGATGCATGTATATGTTCTTATGCTGTGTAGAAAGTTTGGGCTGATTCCAAATCAAGTTAAAATTTTTTTACAAATTTTTAAAGGTACTCAAAAATCGGCCAAAAGTCCCTGTACTATAGTACAGTGATTTTGGCCAAATATCATCAAAAATGAAAAGGAGAAAATTCGCCATTTTTATAATTTTTCCTGATGCATATACATGTTTTTATGTTGTGTAAAAAGTTTAAACTAATTCCGATCAAGTTTGGAATTTTTACAAATTTTTAAAGGTACTCAAAAATCAGCCAAAAGTCCATGTACTATATATAGCAGTGATTTTGGCTAAATTTCATCAAAAATGAAAAGGAGAGAATTCTTTATTTCTATAATTTTTCCTGTTATGTTTTTTAATTTGTGTTTATGTTGCGTAGAAAGTTTGACTGATTCTGATCAAAATTGGATTTTTATGAATTTTTTAAAGTTGCTCTATACGCTAT